GATCCTCTTGGGCCATGGGGACAGAGTGAAGCCACCCCATGGCCACCATTGTGTCACCCTGATGTCAGAGATGTCCGTGCTCAGGCTGGGGCAGGGCTGTGGGGGCTGTGGGGCTCCTCCAGCCCTATGGATGCCTTGTGGGGTGGGAGAGGGACGGGGAGAGAGGAGGAAAGCTGGGCTTATTCTCAGACTGGAGCAGTCGTTCAAAATGTAAACCCTGCGGGAGGAGTCAGGCTGAGTAGCTCTGCAAAGCTCTCGTTAGCAGTAACTGGAAAATAAGGGACTCATTTGGAGCTGTGAGGTTAATTAAAGGTTGGGTTGTATTCCCCGGGGAGGAGGCAGTTTCTCCACCACTTAATCTGCGAATGGGAAGTGGCTGCCTGTCTGAGGGATGCTCTCCAGCTCCATGGCTCCGTGTTAAAGAGAAGAAGGACAGAAGTTTTCCAGCTGCACCCTGCGGAGGGGCTGGAAGGGCCTCGTCTGGCCCCCAATTTCTATAAGTAACTAGAAAATAGATGGGGTAAAGGAGCAGGGAGACAGCAGGAGGGAGCAGCCTCCTCAATAATTACTCATTTTTCAGAGCAGCGGCACGTGGGGTCTTTCAAGGGAAATCCAGGAAAGCAGAATCTTAAAATAGCCAATTCCTGAAAGCAAATGTGCTCAGCTTAAAAGCCATTACATTTTATAGCCCAGAGCAATTTCGATTTAATTGCTTTTGCCCCCAAAAGTCCTAAGCTTGGGGAAAGGCAAATCTCCTGCTTGCACAGTTCAGCAGAAAAAAGAAGTGCCCAGAAGAAGATGAGGCAGTGTCTGTCCCTGGCTGTTCGGGGGGGGGCATCTGGCTGGGCTGGCAGGGGGACACTGGGGACAGCTGCCTGTGCCCACCCTCCATTTGCCAGCAGGAGCCAAATCCCAGTGCAGACCAGTCCTAGCTACGAGGCCAGGACTGGGACACGGCACATGGTGTCCTCTAGGATGGGCTTGATGTCACGGTGATGGGCACAGAGTTCGGTGGCAGGACTGGGGGAGATGGCACTGGCAGATTTTAGGGGCATCTTCTCCATTTAGTAGCCATTTCACTATGACTATTTTACATATATGTTTTATATGACCCCTGCTCCCAGTCATAGAATCATAGAATCGTCTAGGTTGGAAGAGACCCTTGGGATCATGGAGTCCAACCATCTACCCTACTCTACAAAGTTCTCCCCTACACCATGTCCCCCAACCCCACATCTAAATGGCTCTTAAACACATCCAGGGATGGGGACTCAACCACTTCCTTGGGCAGCCCATTCCAATGCCCGACCACTCTTTCTGTGAAAAATTCTTTCCTAATGTCCAGTCTAAACCCACCCTGTTGGAGCTTGAAGCCATTCCCTCTCGTTCTGTCATTAATTACCTGGGAGAAGACACCAGGGCTCATATCTCAGGGCTCATATCTCAGTTACTCATATCTCATGGCTCTGCTCCTCAGGCATTTGCCAAGAGCTCAATGACTTCTTGGAGGTAGGATGAGGCTGTCAGAGGCAGGGCTGGAGAGGGAAGTGTTGGGGACACAGCTGAGACCCTGCCAAACGCCACCAGGCTGCTGCTGAAATGCCACCATCCCCACCTTGGCTCCTCGCCTTGTGCACGCAGCCATTTGGCTGGATGAAACGCTCTGGAGGTGGGCTGGTGTGTGTGTTGGGGGGGGGTGATGCTTGGGCAGGTTTCTGCAGAGCAGCTTTCTCGTTAACGAGAAAATGATGGCACAAGGAGGGAGCTCAGTGGCGAATCCTCTGGTGCAGTTCCATACGGTTTTGTCCGGCTGATCATCTCAGCTCCTTGGCATCACCCAGGGACAGGATGGCACAGAATTACAGAATCTTCTAGGTTGGAAGGGACCTTAAAGATCATCTTGTCCAACCGTCAACCTAACTGACAAAAATAGACACCCACACAACAAACAAGGAGCATCATCACTAAACCAGACCTCCCAGCACCACATCAACCCGTCTTTTGAACACCTCCAGGGATGGGGCCTCAACCACCTCCCTGGGCAGCCCATTCCAATGGCTGAGAACCCTTTCAGTGAAAAAATTTTTCCTAATATCCAGCCTGAACCTCCCCTGGCGCAACTTGAGGCCATTTCCCCTTGTCCTGTCGCCTGTGACTTGAGAAAAGAGACCGACCCCACCTCTCTACACCCTCCTTTCAGGGAGTTGTAGAGAGCAATAAGGTCTCCCCTCAGCCTCCTCTTCTCCAGGCTGAATAACCCCAGCTCCCTCAGCCTCTCCTCATAAGACTTGTGCTCCAGACCCCTCAACAGCTTTGTCGCCCTTCTCTGGACCCGCTCCAGCACCTCGATGTCTTTTTTATGGTAGGGGGCCCAAAACTGGACACAGTACTTGAGGTGAGGCCTCACCAGTGCCGAGTACAGGGGGACAATCACCTCACTACTCCCCACGCTGTTCCTGACACAGGCCAGGATGCTGGTGGCTTTCTTGGCCACCTGGGCACACTGCTGGCTCATCTTCAGCTGACAGTCGACCAACACCCTCAGGTCCTTTTCTGCCAGGCAGCTCCAGACACTCTGCCCCCGGCCTGTAGTGCTGCCTGGGCACTTGAGCTTTTTAAACTCCTCGGCACTTCAATTAAATCTCAACTCCTGTTGCTCCAGGTGTGCACAGCCCGGAGCAGTTCACAATCATTTTATTCTTTTGAAATATCCCTACCTGCCTCTTCTCCAGCCTCAGACATATGGTATCTCCCCGTCCTTCCTGCCAGTGCTTGGACCTTCTCAGTCCTGTGGCACATCAGGTCTGGCTGAACCCTAGGCTTTCTGTCCCTGCTGCCGTGTGTTTCAGCCAAATCTGTCTTCTGCCCTGGCTTGGACACACCAACCCAAGAAGGGACAGAGGATGTTTCCCTTTCCCATCCACCTGCCTGTACGTTGCATTAATTGATGATAAAATTAACCCTCCTCAGAGGACAGAGTGGTTCCCCAAGCTAATGCTTTCCCCATCACTCTCTCAACAAGCCATTTCTTTTAGTTCTCATTCTCCAGGGTTCCTTCTGAAGCCACAGAGATAAAAGCACTTTCCATCAATGTTTTTGCTGCTTCTCTAATGCTCTTAATTGTCTCCCGTGTCTATTTTGGGACGCTAACATCTTCCAGGCACAGCAGCAGCCTCCAGCAGATGGGGGAAATGCAGATGCACCAGCGTTTCAACTAATCAGTTGTTTACCCTGCAATAAATAACAGGCAGTTAAAACACAAACTGTACCCTGCCCATTCCGGCACAAACACACAAACATCCCGGGAACGTGATGGAAATGAAGTCCACCCTTCCTGAGCAGCAGGAGACACTTCTCCAGCTCAGGAGTTACTGTGGGAAGGGGGAGAAGCTGAGTCTGGGTTTGCTTTTGGGGGGGACCCAGGCGGAGCTGGAGCTGTGGAGAGCATCCCCCAGGACTGTACCTGGTGCCTGCCTGGGGCAAAGCAGGTCCAGTCCAAGGCTCAGGGCTGGACTGGGGACCAGCTGGGATCAGCCTATTCAAGGTTCACCCCTGGCAGTGTGCCCAGGTGGCCAAGAAAGCCAACGGCATCCTGGCTTGTATCAAAAATAGTGTGACCAGCAGAAGTAGGGAGGTGATTGTCCCCCTGGGCTCAGCACTGGTGAGGTCACACCTCGAGTGTTGTGTCCAGTTTTGGGCACCTCAATCCAAGAGAGATCTGGAGGTGCTGGAGCGAGTGCAGAGGAGGGCAACGAAACTGGTGAAGGGCCTAGAAGACAAATCATATGAAGAGCGGCTGAAGGAGCTGGGGCTGTTTCGTATGAGGAAGAGGAGGCTGAGGGGAGACCTCATCACTCTCTACAACTACTTGAAAGGACACTGTAGAGAGGTTGGTGCTGGTCTCTTCTCACAGGTAATTAGTGACAGAACAAGAGGGAATGGCTTCAAGCTCCAACGGGGGAGGTTTAGATTGAACATTAGGAAGGAATTTTTCCCAGAAAGAGTGGTCGGGCATTGGAACAGGCTGCCCAGGGAGGGGGTGGAGTCCCCATCCCTGGATGTGTTTAAGGGACGTTTAGATGGGGTACTGAGGGATATGGTGTAGGGGAGGACTTTGTAGAGTAGGGGAGATGGTTGGACTCGATGATCCCAAGGGTCTCTTCCAACCTCAATGATTCTATGATTCAGGGCAGAGCTCCAGACCCAGGCTCCACCGTAACCCCCCCAGTTCTGCCCAGTTCTGTTACTTAGCCAGGGGGCCTCTTCGTTTGACAGTATCCAGCGTCCTCTCCTTGGGTCCCTCCTGACTGACAGCTGCCCCCACACAGACAGATTCCCAAAGCCCTTATTGATCTCTGGAGCTGTGGTGTGTTCAGAGCCGTGTTGTGACATTTTGTAATGACAACATGACTCACGAATAGAAGGCAGTGGCTCTGTTTGCACCTGGGACCGACTGCTCTGCTTTGCGAGGGAGGGAACTTCTAGACTTTGTCATTGCCCTTTCTCCTGGGAAAGATCCAGGTATTCAACCTGCAGCCCCACCGAGTTCCTCCCCTCCGTCCAAATTACAGAGAGGAGCTGAGATTTGAGTTGAGGAGGATGCTCCTCTGCTAGAGAGGAAATGGCCCTGGTAGGTCAGGTTCACAGCATGCTTTGAGCACCCTTCTTGGCTTGGGAGAGTCATTTTCCCAACCAGGTTGCTTTGCTCGTGCATGTGAGTCTCCAGGGAACCTCCCAGGGAACCAAAACCTTTGGGTGAAAGGCTGGCCTTGCGCAGGGGGTTTGGGCAGTGCATGTTCCCTGTCATGCTGGTACTGCGCAGGTTGCTTTGCTCGTGCATGTGAGTCTCCAGGGAACCTCCCAGGGAACCAAAACCTTTGGGTGAAAGCTGGCCTTGCGCGGGGGGTTTGGGCAGTGCATGTTCCCCGTCATGCTGGCACCATGGTGGTTGCTCCTCGCTGCTGTGACCTGGGTTTCTCTTCCTTCTTTTGCCCTCTCAGAACACCTCAGAGTTGGAGGGAGGTGGAGATGGCCACCAAAGTAGCATCAACACCCTGCCGGACATCTCCCTGGTAAGGCACTGCGCCTTGGGTAGGAGCTGGAGGCAAATTTATCAGGGAGAGTAGTGATAGAACAAGGGGTAATGGTTTTAAACAGAAAGAGGGGAGATTTAGATAAGGTATTGGAAGAAATTCTTTGCTGTGAGGGTGGCGAGACCATGGCTGAGGTTGCCCAGAGAAGCTGTGGCTGCCCCATCCCTGGAGGGGTTCAAGGGCAGGTTGGAGGGGGCTTGGAGTGACCTGGTCTGGTGGGAGGTGTCCCTGCCCAGGGCAGGGGGTGGAACTGGATGGTCTTCAAGGTCCCTCCCAGCCCAAACCATACCATGATTCTCTGATTCTATTAAATTGATAATACCAAGTTTTGCCTCAGCTTCTGTAGCTCTTTGCTGCATCACCCGCCCCTGGATGTCACTGCAGTCACTGGAGTGAATTAATTAGACCAGTTAGGATGAAGGATGCTGGCTGCCTGAACAAGGGTAGCATCTGTGCAAACCAGAGCAAAAGATGGGTTAGTTTGTCCTCTAATTGTCCTCATTTGTGAGTCATATTCTGAGTGCCAGGAAGATCAGAAAGGTGTTTCTCTGAAAATCAGCTCGTTTTGCCACGGTCCCTGTGAGAATGCAGATGCAGGTGACCATGGGCCTGGGGAAGGTCTCACAGCTGAGCCTGGTGTCCTAAAGGCTTCTGTTTCTTGGTTTGGCAGGATGATCTCTCCTCCTTCCCGGATGAACCAAGCACTCGTGGTACCACGGCCCAGTGTCACGCAGTGCAGCAGAGTATCTGTTGAGCAGTCTCATCAATGGCAGCTTCCTGGTTCGTGAAAGCGAGAGCAGCCCGGGGCAGCTATCCATCTCGCTCAGGTACGAAGGACGTGTTTACCACTACAGGATCAATACCACCTCCGATGGAAAGGTAAGGATCTCTGGATAATGCTGTGGGGAGAGGAAATGAGGATATTCATTAAGAGGTGGTACAGAATCTCAAGTTGCAGATTGTTGAGAGAAAACAGGTACACTGGTTGATTAATAGAACAGAACGAGAGGGAATGGCTTCAAGCTCCAACGGGGGAGGTTTAGATTGAACATTAGGAAGGAATTTTTCCCAGAAAGAGTGGTCGGGCATTGGAACAGGCTGCCCAGGGAGGGGGTGGAGGCCCCATCCCTGGGTGTGTTTAAGGGACGTTTAGATGGGGTACTGAGGGATATGGTGTAGGGGAGGACTTTGTAGAGTAGGGGAGATGGTTGGACTCGATGATCCCAAGGGTCTCTTCCAACCTCAATGATTCTATGATTCAGGGCAGAGCTCCAGACCCAGGCTCCACCGTAACCCCCCCAGTTCTGCCCAGTTCTGTTACTTAGCCAGGGGGCCTCTTCGTTTGACAGTATCCAGCGTCCTCTCCTTGGGTCCCTCCTGACTGACAGCTGCCCCCACACAGACAGATTCCCAAAGCCCTTATTGATCTCTGGAGCTGTGGTGTGTTCAGAGCCGTGTTGTGACATTTTGTAATGACAACATGACTCACGAATAGAAGGCAGTGGCTCTGTTTGCACCTGGGACCGACTGCTCTGCTTTGCGAGGGAGGGAACTTCTAGACTTTGTCATTGCCCTTTCTCCTGGGAAAGATCCAGGTATTCAACCTGCAGCCCCACCGAGTTCCTCCCCTCCGTCCAAATTACAGAGAGGAGCTGAGATTTGAGTTGAGGAGGATGCTCCTCTGCTAGAGAGGAAATGGCCCTGGTAGGTCAGGTTCACAGCATGCTTTGAGCACCCTTCTTGGCTTGGGAGAGTCATTTTCCCAACCAGGTTGCTTTGCTCGTGCATGTGAGTCTCCAGGGAACCTCCCAGGGAACCAAAACCTTTGGGTGAAAGCTGGCCTTGCGCGGGGGGTTTGGGCAGTGCATGTTCCCCGTCATGCTGGCACCATGGTGGTTGCTCCTCGCTGCTGTGACCTGGGTTTCTCTTCCTTCTTTTGCCCTCTCAGAACACCTCAGAGTTGGAGGGAGGTGGAGATGGCCACCAAAGTAGCATCAACACCCTGCCGGACATCTCCCTGGTAAGGCACTGCGCCTTGGGTAGGAGCTGGAGGCAAATTTATCAGGGAGAGTAGTGATAGAACAAGGGGTAATGGTTTTAAACAGAAAGAGGGGAGATTTAGGTTAGGTATTGGAAGAAATTCTTTGCTGTGAGGGTGGCGAGACCATGGCTGAGGTTGCCCAGAGAAGCTGTGGCTACCTCATCCCTTAGAGCCTCTTACAGTCCCTCAAGGGGCTCCAGGAGAGATGGGGAGGGACTCTGGATGAGGGAGGGGAGTGATGGGATGCAGAAGAAGGGTTTTAAACTAAAAGAGGGGAGATGGAGCTGAGATGTGGGGAAGAACTTCTTTGGTGTGAGGGTGGTGAGAGCCTGGCCCAGGTTGGCCCGAGAAGCTGTGGCTGCCCCATCCCTGGAGGGGTTCAAGGGCAGGTTGGAGGGGGCTTGGAGTGACCTGGTCTGGTGGGAGGTGTCCCTGCCCAGGGCAGGGGGTGGAACTGGATGGTCTTCAAGGTCCCTCCCAGCCCAAACCATACCATGATTCTCTGATTCTATTAAATTGATAATACCAAGTTTTGCCTCAGCTTCTGTAGCTCTTTGCTGCATCACCCGCCCCTGGATGTCACTGCAGTCACTGGAGTGAATTAATTAGACCAGTTAGGATGAAGGATGCTGGCTGCCTGAACAAGGGTAGCATCTGTGCAAACCAGAGCAAAAGATGGGTTAGTTTGTCCTCTAATTGTCCTCATTTGTGAGTCATATTCTGAGTGCCAGGAAGATCAGAAAGGTGTTTCTCTGAAAATCAGCTCGTTTTGCCACGGTCCCTGTGAGAATGCAGATGCAGGTGACCATGGGCCTGGGGAAGGTCTCACAGCTGAGCCTGGTGTCCTAAAGGCTTCTGTTTCTTGGTTTGGCAGGATGATCTCTCCTCCTTCCCGGATGAACCACCCAACTTCAAGCCCCCACCTCCTCCTTCAGCCCCTCAGATGCTGGACCCCTCTGCTGCCCAGCACAGGAACCCAGGGAAAGACAAGCCCAAGCGCCCTTCCTCTGAGTCCTCTCAGTCAGGCCTCTTCTTTGTGGCCCCCCGAAACCCCACGCCCCCTCTTAGCCACCCCGAGAAGGACACGGTCAGCGTGACCTCCACGGCCTCCACATCCACCGAGGAGTCTGCCCCAAGTGCTATCTATGCTACCATTTCCCCAGCCCTGCACAGCTCCAGGAGGCAAATGGATGCTCAGCTCTCCTTGGTCAACCAACACCCCATCGGCCCCTTCCCCAGGGTCCAGTCCCCAACCAGGTTGAAGAGCCCATCCCCAGAAGGCCCTGCAGCTGGTGGGCTTCAGAGCCCTCCTTCCCCGTCCCCTCCTCCTCCCCCGTCCCATCCGGCACCCCCTCCACCGGACAAGGGCAGCCCCCAGGCCATGGCCAACCAGCATTTCATCATGGTGGAGGTGCACCAACCCAACAGCGAGCCCGACGTCAACGAAGTCAGGCCCTTGCCCCAGGCCAGAGGTGGGTGTCAACGTTACGGGTGAAAAAACCCCTTTCTGGGGTGTTTCTCAAGAGAGAAACAGAAGAGAGAGCTCTCGAGGGCAGGAACTGGTGGAGTTGGAAGAGGAAGAACCTGTGTGGAGCTGCAGGTCCCTGGTGGGCTTGGTGGCAGGGCTTCCCCCTTGCTGGGGGATGTGGGCTGGGAGGAGATGCAAGGGGGAAACATCTTGATTTTGGTTCAAACTCCAGGTCAGTAGGGTTGGGGTGAAAGCCACAGAGCCTGGGTTGGTGATGGTGTTTGGTACCTGTGCCTTGGTTGGCCTTTTTTTTTCTGTTGTTCTGAGAGGAATTTTCAATTGCAGAAAAGCAGCTTGAGAGCATCATGGCCAAAAAAAACCAACCACCAAGTGCAAATCTGGGGACCACATAAAGCCCCCTCGCAGCGTTAGCAGCAGTGGGGTTCTTCTCTGAGATAAAACCCTCAGAACTGGGCTTTTTGGCCACGCTGGAGAAGCTGTGAAGCCCAGGGCCTGGCAGCCAGGCATTCGGAGGGCTCTCCAAAGCCTCCCTGGGCCATTCAGGCTGACCTTCACTTAAAGACCAAGCCCCGTGAGGCAGCTGATTGCAATTAATTTGTGTGGGCTTTTTGTTGTGTTACACAATAAAATCTGCTTCTGGAAGAGTTTGGAAAGGAAAAACAAAACAACAAAAAAAAAGCAGCAATTCTGGGGTTTTCCCATTAAATCCAGATTTTACCCCCCAAAAATTTACCCCCCCAGATTTTACAACCAAAAAAAGGTTGTGCCCACACAGAGGTTGGGGATCAGATTTATCCCAGGAAAAGGGGTGGAAGTGAGGGATGAGCGTGTTGGGCTCCACTGGTCCCTCGGGGAATGGCTCTGGTCTAGCGGGATTGGGACCCCTGGAGCCCTGAGGGTGCCCGGGAGGGTGGGCTCTGCTTTCGGCTGAGACCCCTCGGTTCTGGGGGTGCCCAAAGCGCCCCCAAACCCGGGTCACCCCCCCGGGAAATGCCCGATGTGGGTCCGGGCTCCCTGGGACCCGATGCGAGGGGCTTTGTCGCCCTCCTGTGGCACCATCGTCACACTGCAACGGGGGCCCGGGGTGATGGCTGAGGGGCTGGAGTGCCCCCCTCTGCCCCTGCCCGGGGGGTGTTCACCAGTGTCACCCCAACTCTTCCAAGTCCCGCAGCGATTTGCCGGATCCTCAGCCCTTTCTTCAGGTTCCGGCCACTCATTTTCCAGAGTTTCCATCTGCACCCAGAGTCTTCATCCTCCAAAGGGAGGAAGGTCCTTCCTGGGGTCTCCTCTATGCTCGGGTCTGTCTCCATCACCTCCCAGACCCTGGTCTTGAGTATGGGCTGGCTCCAACTGGCCTCCAGCAGGATCCCTGAGCTCCTCACTCTCTTCCCCCCATCCCAGTTTGGGAGCTGGGATGGATCCTGGACATGGGTTTGAGGTCCAGGTGCACAGCTCTGCTCTTCAGGAGGGGTTCTCTGGGGGATCCCCCTTCTAAATCCAGATCTAAAATCCCAGGGAACCTGCCCAGCCCTGGGAGCGGGTGAGATGGTCCTCCCTCTTGATCGGTGGCCCTGTGGGTGCTCGGCTGGCCACGGAGCCGTGCTGCCCAGCTTCTAACGGCCCTCGTCTCTCCCCAGCCTCCACGCTCTCCCAGCTGTCGGACAGCGGGCAGACCCTCAGCGAGGACAGCGGGGTGGACATCGGGGAGGTGGAGACGAGCGGCAAGGACAAGAGCCGGCAGCCGGGCCCTGGGAAAGGCCGAAGCCTCAAGGAGGCCACGAGGAGCGAGGGGGTGGCAGAAGGGGCTTCCAAGCCGGTGAGGCTGGGTGCCCCGGGGCCTTGGGGGTGCTGCCGTGGGTGGGAGGTGGGCACCCAGGGCTGCCAAGGGGCAGTGCTGGGCCCCACTGCCTCCTCCAGCCATCTGCTGGTTCTGCTCATGGGCTCACCAACCCCTCTTTGATGGGTTATTTATCCTCTTGTTTAATGAGCTGAGTCAGCTCGTTTGTGGGCTGAGCTGTGGGGAAGGCAGCAGGGAGCAAAGAGGGGCTGGTTCACCCCATCCTGGTTGAGAGGGACACTGAGGGGCTGGTTCACCCCATCCTGGGTAAATCCAGTCCCTCCCAGCTCCAGAAAGCAGCTACATAGAAACATAGACTCGTCTGGGTTGGAAGAGACCTCTAAGATCATCAAGTCCAACCATCAACCCAACACTGCCAAAACCACTGACCCACCTCCCTCAGCTCCATGTCTGCCTGGTTTTTAAATACCTCCAGGGATGGTGGCTCCACCACTGCCCTGGGCAGCCTGTTCCAATGGTTGATAACCCTTTCAGTGAAGAAATTTTTCCAAATTTCACTGAATTTCACTGAATTTTTAGAGTTGGAAGGGACCACAGAGATCATCTAGTCCAACTCCCCTGCTAAAGCAGGACCACCCAGAGCTTGTCAGAGCATGTTACTCAGGAGCATCCAGGCGGGTCTTGAAAATCTCCAAAGAAGGGGACTCCACACCCTCCCTGGGCAGCCTGTTCCAGGGCTCTGTCACCCTCACCCCAAACAAGTTCTTCCTCATATTCAAGTGGAACCCTTTATGTTCCAACTTGTGCCCATTGCCCCTCGTCCTCTCACTGGGAACCACTGAAAAGAGTCTGGTTCCCTCCTCCTTCAACCCACCCTTTAGATACTTGTAGGCAATATCCATCCTAAACCTCCCCTGGTGCAACTTGAGGCCACTTCCTCTTGTCCCATGGCCTGTTCCTTGGGAGAAGAGACCGACCCCCCCTGGCTACCCCCTCCTTTCAGGGAGTTGGAGAGAGTGAGAAGGTCTCCCCTCAGCCTCCTTTTCTCCAGGCTGAACACCCCCAGCTCCCCCAGCACATGGCAGAGTTCCTGGCTCCAAGGGGACATCCGTGGGGCACAGTGTCCCATGGGTGAAGTCACCAATCGCCCAGAAGGGAAGGTGGCATCAGGAATCAGAAGTAAATTGGAGGCTTTCTGATGGTGGCAAGGTTGAGGTGTGTGGGCAAGCAGTGGGAGGGCTGCTCCACTCTTCCCCAAGCCCTTCCAGACCCCGACACCGTTGGGATCATGGATGTCAGGAGTCAGGAATTGCCAGCAGCGTGTCCATCCCTCTCCCGTGGGGCTCTGGGCTGAGGGACCATGGCAGGCCGAGGGTGCCCGGGCTCCCTTGGCATCGCTGCCCTCTCTCCCCACAGCCAGGGCTCCTGGAGCCCACCTCCTGCCTGATCCGAGTGTCCAAGAGCGCGCCCACCTTGGGGATCGCCATCGAGGGGGGAGCCAACACGCGGCAGCCGCTGCCCCGCATCGTCACCATCCAGGTAGGGCAGGCTGAGAACGGGCACAACTCAGCGCACATCCCCTCCTTCTCCTCCCTGGGCATCAGGAAAGTCCCTTCGGAGCCACGTGGGGATTTGGGAGGTGTTATTTCCCCCCTCTAGGGCCTTGTATTTCCCCAGACATCAGACCCATCACTCTGCTGGGGGTGGGGGGTTTGCATTTGTGTCCCGTGGATGATCCCATTCCATAAATCACATCGAAGGATTTACTGCAGACATTTCACAGGGGGGTTTGAGCAGCCCCCAGGAAGCTTGGCTGATGTCTCCAGATGTCTGGAAACTCCCTTATTTTATCTGCTCAGATAAAAGATTGGGGGGTGGGGAGGGGGGAGGATGATGAAGTGGGGAACTGAACCATGGGGATCTGTCTCCCCGCTGTTTACTTGGGGCAAAATTCAAGTTCTTCAGAGCAGGAGGGAAACCAAATTCATCCCTTCTTCCCCAAATATGAAATGTTTCATCTCCGTCGCGTTCAACCCTGACCCGGCGGACGCCGGGTCAGGGTTGAACGCGACGGAGATGAAACATTTCCCTCCAACCTCCCCATATTTCATCCCTGGCTTGACCTAGAGGGGTGGTGGGACCACGAGGTGACCATCTCTCTCCTGCAGCGTGGTGGTTCGGCCCACAACTGCGGGAAGCTGAAGGTGGGTCACGTCATTTTGGAGGGGAACGGGACGGGGCTGCGGGGGAAGGAGCATCGGGAGGCCGCCCGCATCATCGCCGAGGCCTTTAAGCTGAAGGAGAAGGACTACATCGATTTTTTGGTGACAGAATTCAACGTCGCCCTTTAGGGTGCCCCCTCCATCAGGGTGGGGTGGTGTTTTTTTGGGGAGAAACGTGGCTTGGAAGAGGGATGAAAGGCAGCGTTGAGGTGTGAAAGCGACGTCCCACCAGGCAGGACCCTCGCCCGCTGCACGTAAAGACACCCCCATCCATCCCCATCTCGTCCCCAAATGTCCCCTCGCCCACCCGCAGACTCTGGGCAGGCTGAGAACGGGCAGAACTCAGCACACGTCCCTTCAAAGTCTTCATCCCTCTCCTCTTTGGGGGTGGGAGCTGCTCTTTGGGGACACCCTCTCCCCCCTCGGCCTGGTTGGGGAGCGGGGAGGGAGGACAGCAGAGGTGTGGGTGTCCCCGCTGTCACTTTGAGTGCCACACGCAGAGCAAGGTGGCCCCGTGGCTCAGGTTTGGAGGGGTTTTTTTTTTTGGGTGGTTGCTGCCCCCCCCTCGGGTGCTGGTCCCCGTACCCAGGGGGGTGGCTGAGGGATCCACGGGTGGGGGATGCTGAGAGAGGAACTGGAGGCCTTGTAAATCGCTGGCAAAGTCGTCGTATTTATATATACAGAGCTTGTGCTTTTAATTTTTCAATAAATCTATCCGGTTAGAAAAAGGCCGGGTTTCTTGGGGTTTCTTGGGGGCCGGGACAAAGCTGAGTCAGCTCGTTTGTGGGCTGAGCTGTGGGGAAGGCAGCAGGGAGCAAAGAGGGGCTGGTTCACCCCATCCTGGTTGAGAGGGACACTGAGGGGCTGGTTCACCCCATCCTGGGTAAATCCAGTCCCTCCCAGCTCCAGAAAGCAGCTACATAGAAACATAGACTCGTCTGGGTTGGAAGAGACCTCTAAGATCATCAAGTCCAACCATCAACCCAACACTGCCAAAACCACTGACCCACCTCCCTCAGCTCCATGTCTGCCTGGTTTTTAAATACCTCCAGGGATGGTGGCTCCACCACTGCCCTGGGCAGCCTGTTCCAATGGTTGATAACCCTTTCAGTGAAGAAATTTTTCCAAATTTCACTGAATTTCACTGAATTTTTAGAGTTGGAAGGGACCACAGAGATCATCTAGTCCAACTCCCCTGCTAAAGCAGGACCACCCAGAGCTTGTCAGAGCATGTTACTCAGGAGCATCCAGGCGGGTCTTGAAAATCTCCAAAGAAGGGGACTCCACACCCTCCCTGGGCAGCCTGTTCCAGGGCTCTGTCACCCTCACCCCAAACAAGTTCTTCCTCATATTCAAGTGGAACCCTTTATGTTCCAACTTGTGCCCATTGCCCCTCGTCCTCTCACTGGGAACCACTGAAAAGAGTCTGGTTCCCTCCTCCTTCAACCCACCCTTTAGATACTTGTAGGCAATATCCATCCTAAACCTCCCCTGGTGCAACTTGAGGCCACTTCCTCTTGTCCCATGGCCTGTTCCTTGGGAGAAGAGACCGACCCCCCCTGGCTACCCCCTCCTTTCAGGGAGTTGGAGAGAGTGAGAAGGTCTCCCCTCAGCCTCCTTTTCTCCAGGCTGAACACCCCCAGCTCCCCCAGCACATGGCAGAGTTCCTGGCTCCAAGGGGACATCCGTGGGGCACAGTGTCCCATGGGTGAAGTCACCAATCGCCCAGAAGGGAAGGTGGCATCAGGAATCAGAAGTAAATTGGAGGCTTTCTGATGGTGGCAAGGTTGAGGTGTGTGGGCAAGCAGTGGGAGGGCTGCTCCACTCTTCCCCAAGCCCTTCCAGACCCCGACACCGTTGGGATCATGGATGTCAGGAGTCAGGAATTGCCAGCAGCGTGTCCATCCCTCTCCCGTGGGGCTCTGAGCTGAGGGACCATGACAGGGCGAGGGAGCCCGGGCGCCCTTGGCATCGC